GAGAGAATGGACAAAAAGACATGCAAATAGACAGACGTGTGGAGAAATGTCCCCATATCTTCATCTACTCCTTACACCCCTGCTTCCTATCTTCTTAATCCATCATTTTATATGCACGGATAACCCCCCTTTAGGATTTCATCATAGTTGGGGCAGGGCATACGCTGGCCAAATGTCATGATAACGTCATACTTTAGTAGTTCAGACTTTTTTTTCTTGTAGTTTTTCTTCAAAGGTATAGCATTGTTTTCAGTCATGTAAAATAAAATATACGATGATGTATCTTTCAAATAACATAGTTTCACTGCAATAACTGTGAACTGTGTAAAGCATAATAAAACTCAGTACTCATAAATTTAATTGGTCTACTGTTTTTGGGGCCATGAAAAAAACATGTATAAGCTGCACCATATTACAGGCCACAGTGTTCAAAGTGTGGGAAAAAAGTAACGGCTTTAATCCGGAATTTACGGTACATACATTGAATCGAAAACAATCTGTATTTTCGCTACATATTAGATTAAATTCATCTTTGGAGGACGCTGCATTCTTGGCTGCCAAAAGGCAGGATACACCCTGGGTGAACCACATAGAGACAAACAAGATACACAACCATATACTTCCATACCCATTCTTTGGTTTGATTAAATAACAAGAGAACCTTTGTATTCATCATGACAATAAGATGTTCATGCTCCATATAGTCGAGCCTGGATTCCTGCATACGGTGCTTATCACCACATTTTAATGCAGTCCAAGGTACAAACAAACTACTTTGTGCTATGGTCAACAAGAACCAGTGAACCAGTGAACAATATTTTAAAAATGCTCACAATGGTGGAAGACGTCTGGGTAGACGGAGAGTGAGGTAGCAGATATCAAATGAGATTTGTCAAATGAGTCACCAAATAATTTTGGATGGTGGGGGGAATCCACACAGAAAAGCCCCGCTGCTGTGATAAAAACAAGGAACCCTGTTACCCATGAAACCCTGCTCAGTCATTGTTTGAAAGATAATGACCAATGATAGACACTTTGGCATGTCTGCATGGTGTTGCAAAATTAAAGAAAAGTTTAGAGTAACTGCAAGGGCCTTAACCCAGGCTTCATATTCATGATTGTCATGGGACATTTTTATTGAGAAACAATATTGCTGACAGGGTCTGTTATTCTTGCAAATCTAATTTGAGACAGTAGCTTTCTTTTTTTTCTCACAAGAAAAAAAAAACAGTTTGGCATTCAAATTAAGACAAGCTCAACACTAAATAATAAGTGACGCATTTCTTTTCTCACCTACGATAGGCTGATATGAAACTGAGGGGCTATAAAAAAAACAAAGGAAACACACCAACACCCACGTAAAGACATCAGAGGGATGGAGATCAGAATTATTTTTCTCGGCCTGAGATTGGCTCTGGGTTGGTTTAAAGTGAACTCAGTTCTTGCCTTGGGTGGGTCTCTGACTAATCTGAAACAGACAGCAGAGCAGAAAGAGGCTGATGTTGGCAGTACTGAAGCTTCATCTTTGAAATGTAAGCTGCAGGGTACTGCTCGACTACCAGTGTTCTCGATGGATGGCGATTACATTATTGGAGGTGTTTTCTCCATCCACCTCAAGCAGCAAGCAGTGATTCATAATTACACTAATCTGCCTGAGCCACCACAGTGCATAGGAAGGTTAGTATCACGTAGAAGGGAGATGGGGACAGCATTGCATCAGAAATGCTTTGATTTGAAAAATGTGGAGTTGTGACGCAAATGTTTTGGCAAAGAATCAATTTAAAGACCTGATTTTAAGTTTTTCAACCTGTATCTGCATGTAATCTCTTTAATTATAGGATAATTACATTTTATATGAAAATTTAGAAATATTTCATGATTATCAACTGTTTTGAAATTTAACAGAGCTTGAAAGATGTGTGATGTTTTACTGAATAATGTACAGGCCTACTGTAAATGACATGACAGGTAAATAATCCCAAACTTTCATCTTTATCAAGCAACTCTCAAGTACGTATGAGTCCATGTTAAGACCTAATATATGATTTGCAGTATGTCTTTGGAAAAGGTAAGTTGCTCTGGTTTTAACTGAATGCGTGACTGACATTTGTAAATGTTTGCCACCAGCATTAACACACGTGAACTGCGCGTCTCTCGCGCTATGATCTTTGCCATCGAGGAGATTAACAACAGCACCGAGCTGCTGCCAGGCATCAGGCTCGGATATCAGATCCATGACTCGTGCGCCTCGGTGCCAGTGGCTGTGCAGGTGGCCTTTCAG